ATATATATATATATATATATATATATATATATATATATAATGTTTATATTGAATACAGTGATAACATATGAAGAAACCCATTTCTTACATTAATTAGAAGAAATAAAAAAAAAACACTATCATGTTTTCTCACTTTCTCATCACGTCAATATTGAATATGGCTACAGTTTGGGAATCTTAAGCATTTTGTAATTATAATTTTTTTTCCAATAAATTTGGATATAAAGCTTAGACGCGCGTTTAAATAAACCCGAGAGATATTATGTAACGAGCTATTGCATCATTAAAATTATTATTTTATGTACTCTGTGTGTAGTAATTCATTATTTTATTGAATAACTTTTGTAATAAGATAATATCTGAAGAGAGTTAACCAAACGATTATTTCGCGTGCTTATTCTGACGTTTCTGTTTGTAAATACAAATTTATAAATTAATGTTAATTATAATTAGCAAATTCGAACATTACCATATTACAAAAATATAACATTTATTCTATTATTCTTTCAAGTAAACCTGTAAGTAATGACTTGTGCGTACAAATGTAAATTAAAAAGAAAAAAGATTGACTTTTTTTACATACTGTATGATAAAATATGGTAAGATACAAATTTGTCTTTTCTACTTGTATTATACTTTTCGCCTTCAAAATGAAATTAATATTTCACAGACATTATTAAGAAAATGAAGAACAAATGAAAAAAATCAAGTGCTACGAAGGATTTTATGAAAGTGCTACGAAGGATTGAACACCGGATGTGCTTTCGATAACTAGCGAGCGTCATCTACTTCCTTTTCGAAAGCGACTGCCGCTAAAGCGCGGGTAATTGTTGCCTGAAGAAGCCGCGAGAATACTTGTTGCGTCGTTCTAGTGTGAGCACCGACCCAATCAATTTATTTCATCGATAATTGAGATTGTAGAATTTGTCAACGTAAATCAGCACAATGTTTGAGGCACGTTTATTACAAAGTGCGATTCTGAAGAAGGTATTGGATGCAGTAAAGGATCTCTTGACCGAGGCAACGTTCGAATGTTCCGACTCGGGGATTCAGGTCCAGGCGATGGACAACGCGCACGTTTCGTTAGTTTCCTTAAATCTCAGGAGCGATGGTTTTGACAAATACCGTTGCGATCGGAATCTCTCGATGGGTATGAGTATCAGTTGGTAAGGCAAGAAAAGTTTTTCTCGTAGATTTGGAGGTTATGCGTTGGCTGACTAGGCTCTCAGACAAAGAAGTAGGATCTGTTCTTTATAGCTTACACTTTCTACACTTCGAATGAAACAGGGTTGATCGTGTTCGTAGAAATTTTGTGAAAATTACAAAAATAAATGAATTTAGCAAAATATTTATCACTTTATTGGTGAATATCTAGATATGAATTTGTTTACTTTTGTAATTTTCACCACGATAAATACATAATTATTACGATTAATATGTTACGATTAATACATAATTAGGCCTTTGATGTATCTATAAAAAAAAAGGAATTCGTGTCCATTTAATTTCCATATAAAAATTTCGCAGAATTTGCAAATGTTTCGAAAACTCAGAGCTTTTTGATCGCAATCGTGAATTTTATTCTTTAATCACTAAGATATTAATTACTACAGTTCACATAGTTATATTTTGGAATTGACAAATTTAAAAAAATTTTTATAACTGAAAACTGAAAGAATAAACATTAGTCATATGGGACATATATACTTAAAATATGAAGGAAAAAGAATAATGAGAAAGTACAGAAAATATAACAAAAAATAGGGTCTAGAGCTATTTTTCAGCTAAATTATTGAGGCAATTTTTACAACTGTGTGTTACAACAAACTTAATGTTTTTTAGCATGTCAAAGATTCTGCGATGTGCTGGTGCCGAAGACACGGTGACCCTTAGAGCCTGGGATAACCCAGAATCTGTTATTTTTATATTTGAATCGCCAAATAAAGATAAGCTCGCAGAATATGAAATGAAGTTGATTAATATGGACCAGGAGCATCTTGGCATTCCTGTAAGATTCTTATATCTAAAAATAATGTGGATTTAACTTGACAATGTTCCTACAATGCTTTTATCTAATGCTTTTATTTTATGAATGATTTCATAGGAAACTTCGTACTCATGTGTGGTCAAAATGCCATCTGGGGAGTTTACACGTATATGTAGAGATCTGAGTCAGTTTGGAGAATCCATAACTTTTGCTTGTACAAAGGAAGGTATAAAATTCAGTGCTTCTGGTGATTATGGCTCAGGTAAGTTTTCTTATTCTTATATCTTTTAAAAATATGAGGTAATATGAGTTTTTTATATCTTATCTACTTACGTTTGCGTTGTAATCTATGATCGATTTAGCCATTTTCTTGAGCCAAAAGTCTTCTAGAGTTTGTGTTTATGCTACAACGAATGCAAACTCACTGAATAATTTGATTTCAAATAGAGAATATATATTTGAAATATTTGTGTCTCTTGGTCTTTTGAAGAAAGGTCATATATCTTGTGTATACTTTCTTCTGTTTATATTTTTATCATTGATAGAAACACAAGTTGTGATAACCAAACACAAATGCTATGTAGGATATGCTAGATGTATTTATATATACAGAGATTTATATAGTTAATATAAAAATTTTGAGATTTGTATCATGTTTATAATTAATATAATATATGTACATATAGATCATATATAATTGTGTTACATATATTGTTTCTTTCTTTTTGCAGCTAATATCAAATTAGCGCAGACTGCGGACGCAGATAACGAAGAGGAAGCAGTAATAATTAACATGCAAGAACCAGTAAAATTAACATTTGCTTGTCGTTATTTGAATTGTTTCGTGAAAGCTGGTCCTCTATGTAATCAAGTTCAATTATCTATGTCTGATGATGTTCCTCTTGTATGTGAATATAAGATCGGCGATATCGGACACATCAGGTATTATCTGGCACCCAAGATCGATGACGAGGAAGAAAATTAAAATAGCGTCAGGTGTGAATTGATGTATCGATAAATTTTATAATTATCGCTATTATACCGTATTATGATATTGTTTAAATTTATGTTTTGTCCAATGTTTCTAACATCGCCATATTTATTTCGTTAGAAAAAAGATTAACTGGCTTGTAACTGTAATTCCAAGAAGATAATGTCATACATACATATTCTGTTAAATGAGAAAATTAAGTATCCCGATATGTTTATATTTGAGGTACAAGGCAAAGTTAAAAGAGTACTTTTAAGGTAATATATTACTTTAATTTTACATTTAAAAGTCATTTGGCTCGTCACAGTGCTAGCGCAATGCAGAATTGACACTAAAATTCATAGGTAGAGTGACACAATTATTAGTATAGCAAAATGGTGTCATCTTCTTAATCAATATTCACATTGTTACTGTTCCAGAGACTGTGACAGTATTTTGATAATATCGCATTGTTTTTTCTTTTATATATAAGAAGAACTCAATATATTTCCAAAATTTGATAAATTTTGAATTATATATTACTTTTACATATCCTAGCCTAATCGAAAAATTCCAAGTTTTTGCTTAATGCAAACCTCTTATTTCTTATACGTTTGTGTATAAGCTACTTTAATATAAAAATACATAATTAACTTACGAGCTGAGGGAATAAAAGGGATATCATGGATGGAATAGCCTAGAAGTATACAGTTAAATCTTAAATAGTTTGGATTTCATATAATCACTAAATAATGAAGTCAATAATTATAATTAATCGCGTTAAATATTGTTTTATACTGTAGAATTATTTTACACGCAAGCACTCCTCGACAGATCTCTAGAAATAGTTGTTCAGCGTTTGTCTTTTATACTTGAACAAAATTTTTAATAAAACAAGTAACGTTTCTTTTTATGCGTGCACACTACATTACAGAAGAAGAGGGAAAAGATTTAGAACAATAAAATGAGATTTTGGCAATATTACTCAGCCTCTTTGGTATTAAAACCCTGATATTGCTTTCTGGTTTTAACTCAAGTGAGAAGTGACTAACGAGAGGAGCTCTATTATTTTATACATCGTTAAAATGAAGATTATCGTATATAAAGAACGCGATTACTACTCTTTAGAAAAAATAGTTTGTATAGATTTCTCTCCAAAATGCATTGTGAAGTTTTTAAGATACGCTCAGTGATTTATCAGTGGAGACTCACACAGATCTCGACATTTAGTTCGTCATCACGTAAATCCGATTTGGCATCCAAATACGTTATACAGTATAGATACGCGATCAGTCTACAGACATAATATTGAATTTACAGAACGATACTGTATGATCTGTATGATCCACGTCTGAGCCATGCAAACAGAAACATACACGCGCCGGAAAGAAATATAAGGGGATTTAAGCATTCGTGCTACCGTTACTCCCGTACAAGCTAGGATGTACGTATTTGTCATGCAGTGTCCTTAGGTGCCTTAGCAAATTGCTCTTTACATTAAAGCCTTTTTTACAGTAGGAACAGAGAAACGGTTTTTCTCCTGTATGCGTTCTCTGATGGATGACCATTGAGGCGTGGCTGGGGAATTCCTTTTGACATATGTTGCACAACTTTTGGTGATTGTGAACCCTTTTTGGTTTGGGAGGCGCCGAGTTGTTCATCAAGGCCAGCTGCTCTTCTGTGTGTTCCGTTTGTATGTGACGTACCCATTCTTGCGGCGTGGAGTACATGTTACCGCATAAATCGCACTTCAACGGCGGGAAGTCTTTGCTGTCATCGTTCATGTCGTCCTGAAAATGTCTCTTCGTTTCAAGTCATCTCGTGCGTATCATTATCACGCGCATAGAAGATGCGAGAGCGTACCTTCCGTTTCTTTCTCCGATTTTCGGTCATGTCAGCGTGCGTGAATTCTATATGCCTCACCCAATCGGACGGCCTGTTAAACGTTTGACTGCACATATCACACGTCAGTGGTGTATATTCTTCCTCCTCTAGGTCTCCATCTTCGTCTGCACTGTGTACGATTTCCTATGATAAAAGTAAGAGAACTCGTTATTTTATATTGCACACTTAATCTTCACTACATTAAAACTGATTAGTTGTATTCATTTTACGCACTGGTTTGATATCGATCTCATGGTCTATGGTGAGCGATTCTGACGGATCGATCGACTCTTCCCAGTCGATCGGCTCGTCCTTTACTAACAGTTCCAGATTTAGTTCGGTCTAGAAAGAGAAAAAGGAGAAAATATTAGATTTGACATTGTTGGATGAAAGTTTTATCACATTATTTTATCCAAGCCTAAAAATTGCCTCACGTTTTCGCCACTTTCGGTCTTGGACTTGTTCGACTCGACGTCGCTGTTAGCAGCTTTCTTCTTCTTGCCATTCACCTCGAAATTCTCTTTGTTCTTGTTCTGTTCGTTACTTTTGTTCTCCTCTAAGACGTTCTTCGTTTCGGATTCGTTGGACTCATCGGTGGTTACCTCGGTGCTTTTCCTCTCGACTGGCTTTTGAGGCTGTACATTATTTTGAGCTGTCGCCGCCTGTTGCGCATTCTCGGCTACCTTCTCCATAGTCGGTTGCACCAGCTTGATCTTTTGTATTTGCCCGGTCACCTGTGACGTTTCCTTCTTGTCGCGCTCGATCTTCTGATTATTCGACTGTATGTTTTCCTTCTTGCTACCGTTTGATCTCCACAATCCACGCACACGTAAGATATCGCCGGCTTTTAAAACACCCTCTAATTGATCGTTTGCCACGGTGGCCTCGCCGCTGTACATGTACTGTATCAGGATCTTCAGTGTGCGGTATCCAATCTCCGTAGGCAATACCTAAAGTATTCACGTTGGATTAGCAATTTGAGAATTGTAGGAAAGAATGACAATATCTCGGATAGCACAGAATGCTCTTATTATGTTGATGCAATAAGTATGCCATTCTCCTTTAAATTCTTATAAGAAGTTTGGATATTAAAAAGAAGATAGAAGTTAGAGTCTAAAAAGACAATCGATTCGATGTTATTTATTTTATTCGTAAAAAATGATTAATCCTTTAAATTTGGTTGATTTTGTTTTCTATTTTATTTGACAAATACGACAAACCTCTTGCACCAACCTAATAAAATATTTCAAGGTAAGATTTAATACCAACCACGATTATCGGGGCATTGGTATTCGCGCCGAAGTGACATGTCTGGAAAATATGACTGAGGTACGACGAGCATGCTGCAAGGACGAATCGGTGAGCCGCTACATGCCGGCCGCAGGACGTGGCCAGTAGAACATCCGCGAAGGACTCCGAGTGGAGCAGCGTCGCGACGGAGCTGTGCAGATGCTCGCCGTAGCTGTGCCACTTGAGCTGATAGTCCGACGCGGCGATGGCCATTTTTTCTGAATCAGACGAAATTGATGCCGAATTATTATATACGGCATGTATAAGTGATAATAACGTCGTCGTCGTCGCTATCGCCGTTGTCGTTGGCGCCGCGCATTTACCGCCGAACACAATCTCGCAAGTCTTATTTTTTATCCGACGTTACGTTAAACGTCAGACGCGATTCGTCAAACGGAGCCGAGGAATTTGTAAAAATCTTTCACGTATCATTTTCGTTTCTCCGATGACATCCGATTCCCGACGGTTCATCACGCGGTACTAGTATTCTATCTTTCATCGGCTGGCGTCTTGCGCATTTCTATCTATATCGATCTATCGCCGCGATTAGCGATTGCGGATAATTATCTGCAAAGGCGGTCGCGCGGGAGGAAGCTAACCGTCGTCGTATTAACCGCGATCAACCCTTACATGAATGTAAGGTTCTCGCGATCTCTTGCGAGAATAGCGAAGCGTCTCCGTGATCTAGTGAGAACGGACGAGCGCAGAATGGATCTAGCGAATCGGATACACGCAGAGACAGAGAGAGGCCGACTGTGCTCCCTCTGGCCGATCGTTAGTCCTCCATTCCGGGGATGAGCTGTCAAATGTTTCCTTGGTCACGTTTGCGGTGGTACTCTGTCGTCGTCGTCGTCGTCGCCCGCCCGCGCGAGTATACAGATCAATGCAGCGCGATAAGTCGCAACGTGTGATAACTTCGTCGCGCGCCGTGTCACTCCCGCCGCCGCCAGCGCGATTTCCCGATCTCGCGGTATCTCGCCGCGCGTTAATCGAATTCGCTCAGCTCAATCGTGATGCGTGTGTTACAGGCCGTGACGGTCACGATTTACTATTCGTCCGCCGCCACTGCCAAGGATGCAGCGATCACCCTTCACCCGCACCCTCTCCCGACGTCGACTACTCTCCCCTTATCTCACGGTGCTCTTCTACTTCAGGGCGCGAGTTTACGCGCCGGGAGGGAACACTCCGCCGTGTATCTATGCTATCGAGGATCCACACTGATTTTACGCTCGTTCGAGGACCGACTTCGCGATTACGCTCGCTCTCTCGACACTCGTGTCGCCTCGTGAATCATCATCGTCCACGAGAAAGAGCGTGAGAGAATGCGTCGCGGTGAACTCCTTCCCTCCTAGGCCAGACCGACTCGCAGTTGCGATTTTACCTGAGAACATCGGCACACTTGATGACGTTGTTACGGGGATCCACTCGATCGTAAATTTCAACGAGCAATTTATGCTTCCACCAAGACAATGACAATGACAACGACGACAACGGCGACGACAATGACGACGGGGACGAGGACGAGGCTGCGTGCACAGCGCGGCGTATCTCGCGCGCGTCGTCGGTGTTTTGAAAGGCGCTTCGCGCGGACACGGGACACGGGGCAGATACGAGCATCGAACGAACCGCCGCGTAGGGGCCTAAAAATCGATATTTCGGTCTTTGCTCCATCCTCTCCGGCGCGGCGCGGCGCGGTGCGGTGCGGCCGTGCTGGCTCGCCGGCTTTCGCCGGCTAGGTAGGTAGGTAGGTAGGGTATGCCCCCCTGTTCATCATCGATTTTCCCGGCTACCAATCGCACGCATCCATTTATCGCATCGATCGCCCGAGCTGATTTCAGCGTTTGCGTCCGTACGTCCATCCGCCCGCTCCGCGATTCATGCACCCTCCCAATCCCCTATCCACCCCTCCCGCTTTTCCTACCTACCTACCTACCTACCTACCCTTCATACCCCACCGCCGGGTACTCTTGCGCGCCTCACCCGTCCCGCGACTCTACCCCCTCGTCGTCGAGGCGACCCTCGCCGCCGCCGCCACGACCGGCGCCGCCGCCGTTGCTTCGGCTATACCTTCGACACTGTAGATACGACGGCTCAACGGGAGAGAATTGTCGAGAGGGAGGTCGACTTCGCAGATACGCAACGATCACACATCCGCTAACTTCTCGATGCCTGTTGATATCCCGCCGCAGGAACCGCTGCTCGCTTTCTCGCGCCGTTCCCGTCCCCGCCGAGAAGCTCTGCCTTGCAGAAACAGGATGTCTGGTGAATTGTCGCCAAGTATCGATTACCCGCTCCCGCCGCTCGATGATCTACCGTTCGCACGAGGGATCGGCGCACGCCTCTTCCTCCGTTCGTAGACTCTGACGCAGTGTTTCTGCGTTGAAAATTGAAAACAAATTGATCGCTTGCGAAAAGTACATCGCGATGATATCTATTTGATCGCAATCTCGATCCTCTACGGCGCGGAGCGGCTCGAGATCGATCTTGCGGCAAAGGTATAGGATTAAATTGCGAAATGAACACGCGTTGCGTTGCGGAATGACGATTAATTGTTAAAAAACAATTCATTCGAGAACAACGCGGCGTTTTTATATTTTACAAACGCAACGCGTACGCACCTCGTCGACGTATTTGTCTTCGGAGTCGCTGGGCACTCTTCTACGTGTGTGCGTATGTCCGTCACTGACACAACACGTCGCAACACGCTTCCACGCGATGCACGACGCGTCCAAGGATTTATAGATCATTTATATATCTCGGACCTCTGTCGTTCATCTCGCGGAAATCTCACGATCGAGGATACTCGAAGATGGCGCCGACGATGGGATTTTCAGGATTTCCTTGGTCGCGTGCGTGTCCGTACGAGCGATGTGTACGTGTGCAGCCGGTGCGCGGCGACGTACCGCATTGCGTCGACGACCCATTTTGCAACGGGGGCGATAAGTCGCTCTCGCCGCCCTCCCTACCATTAAATAATCAATCTCGCGGCGCTCGCTGATCGAGACCCTTTCGAAGACGCCTTTTTTGCCTGATGACCCTACGAGAAAAAGCGGTTAAGACGCGCCTTATCATGTCGCCATTGTTTGTCTTACCTCTCACATACATTCACCTCATCTCCGCGATTGTCCTCGTTTCCCACGTGACTAAATCTCTTACCTTAATTAACCTCAAACCTTGATCATCCCCGTAGTTGGACAATATGCGATTACATGTTATTCGCAAAAGGGCCGATCCGCGGCTAGTGCGTGAGAATATACCGATGATCGATGATCGATCCGTATGGAAGGTCGACGAGCGTTTGAATCGCGATCGCTCGAGCCGCCCAGTCACGTGACGCCGAGTCACGTGGCGCTTTGGCTCTGGCCGCGAGAGGCCGCTGCGGGTGCGCTTCGCGAGCAAACACGACGACCAGTGACGGCTTTCACAACAGTGCAATTCTGTAAATATGCGAGTTATTATCATCGCTCGCGGCGGCTTCGTGACGGCTACGGCTACGACGACGACGACGATGTAAGACGATGCGGTGCTTCTCTGGGACATAGTGCACGTCACGGGCTCCGTGAACGATCGACCAGCGCTGGTGCAGAATTCGCGAGTGAGGCCTCGGTGACCCAATTTACTAACGAAGGCTCTTTTTTCCCTTCACGACGACGACGACGACGACGACAACGACGACGACAACGACGACAACGACGATGATGACGATGACGAATCCGCGGTTATGACCCTTCTTCCAGCGAACGCTGTCGAAGTCGGTGACCTCTATGGACGGACGATGACGATTCGTTCTGGAAGTGAGTTTGCGATTTTTCCGTATGCGAGTTCATGCGACTCAGTGCGCGCGCGAGTTTCGCCAGGTTGCCTGTAGACTGTGGGTCGGATTGAGAAAATTAGGTTAAGTTCGCGAATCGAGTTCTTTTAGACTCGCCCGTTCGCAAAAAGTCGAGCGTCGCTGTTGCCGTGGAGCTCAACAGGCGGCTTGAACGTCTTTCCGAAGTGAAACATTAGTATAGGGAAGTACGTATCGCGTTCGGATGCTGCTGCCTGTCGCAGCGTGTTATGACTCGAGGACAGAAGACCTTCGGGGCAAGATGAAACATGTTTGTTCGTGCTCGCGGGCGAGAACTTCCAAGAAGAGGCACAGTTTCACGACTGTGATAAGTCGCCAGCGATCGTCCAGCGGGATTTTCACGCTCATTTATGACAGTACGTGAGAGGAACTTTACCCTCGTGCAAGATGCCTCACGTCACGCGAAAGTGGGAGCTGTTCCCGGGCAGGAATCGTTTCTGTTGCGATGGGAGAGTGATGATGGCACCGCAGACTGGAGTATTCTATGTCACCGTGTGTCTCATCGCCGGAACCAGCGGATTGTTCTTTGGCTTTGAGTAAGCATCGCGATTTCATGCGTCACGTTTTATTTACATTGGCAGAACCAGTGGGGTTGCGTAGCATATATGTTGTGGCTCACAACTCGAGTACGATACATCACGAATGAGCATTTGTGTCTTGAGATAATTTCTTAAACTTTGTGTGGAAAGAAAAGTTGACTCTCTCCCTCTCTCTCTCTTTCTCTCGTATGCACAGCAACAGAAGTGAATTTTGGAACGTTTTCTTTTTTCCAGTTGTCCATTTTTGGCACTACATATAACACCAGCAATACCAGTGATAGGAGGTTTATTATTTATATTTGTAATGTCTGCTCTGTTTCGTACAAGCTTCAGTGACCCTGGAGTAATTCCACGAGCAACACCTGACGAAGCTGCTTATATTGAGCAACAAATTGGTACAGATGCAATTGTATATTTATGTGCATGTGTGAATTCTTTCTCTCTTTTTCTAATTATTCTATACTTTTAATAATACTTGAATACAGCAAAGAATACTGTTCATTTGTAACTTCCTGAAGTACTAAATTGAAATGTTTTTTTTTTTAAATCTGCAGAGGTACCTAACAATGGTAACTCCAAAACATATAGACCTCCCCCCAGAACAAAAGAAGTCTTAGTCAGAGGACAACCAGTGAAACTAAAATATTGCTTTACATGCAAAATATTCAGGCCACCGAGAGCTTCTCATTGTAGTCTATGTGACAATTGTGTAGGTATGTATTTCTGTGTTTCTATTAAACTTAAGATATTTGAAAGTATTTGTAACACTTGGTTGTTCTCACATTTATCAAATATGTATCAGTATTAGTATTGTGACAGCAATATTGTGACGCTAATTTAAACAAGCGTATGGAACGATCTTAAAGGTGAATATTCTTACAGAGAGGTTTGATCATCACTGTCCATGGGTTGGTAACTGTGTAGGCAGGAGGAACTATAGATATTTTTATGCTTTTATAGTATCCCTGGCGTTTCTTTGCGTTTTCATATTTGCATGTGCAGTCACACATTTAATTATGCGTAAGTATACTGTCGCTTGCGAGTCAGTAAACACAAACATATCAAGAAAGCTAACGTATGATATATTGCATCGTTTATTACTCGTTGATTGTAGTTACGAAAGATGACAAGCCATTTTTGGAAGCTCTTCGGTCGTCTCCAAGCAGTGTCATCGTAGGAGTGATATGTTTCTTTTCTGTTTGGAGTATCTTGGGCCTTGCTGGCTTCCACACATATTTAACTACGAGTAATCAAACAACTAATGAAGATGTAAGCACGTTTGTCAAAATCACGTATAAATTATATGGATAATGTCATTTAAAGACCATTGTTCTTATAGATTAAAGGGTCATTTTCGAGTAAAAGAGGACAGGAAAGCTTTAATCCCTATAGCCAAGGAAACATTTGCGGAAATTGTTTTTACGTATTATGTGGGCCATCTCCACCTAGTTTAATTGGTAAGATTTCTTTCATAGATGTATAATATCAATCTGTGCCGATACACACGAATCGCACGAATACACATTTGAAAGTTAATATAATTGTATATATTATCGTATCATCTATCTTGTATCATATCGAGAAGATTTATGTCCGTGTCGTGCCTTTTTAGATCGAAGAGGAATAGTTACACCTGAGTATCGCGCAGAGCAAGAAAGAGTTGGTGATGATAATGTGATTACTAATAATAAGACATACGGTACTGTCAAGATTGTGCAGCCTCAGGTAGTTAAAGTATACATTTTACTTTCTTGTTTTGCTAATGCAGTCGAGTAGATAATAAGTATGTATTCGTTTTCTTTTTATTTATTACGACAGTCGAATGGCACAACGGTTCAAACAAGTCCCAGTACGGAACTCACGGACTCGATGAACAACTTAGTCACCGGTCTACATTCTCCGAGAATAGAGTCAATAAACGGTGAGTTAACTCTCTTAAGGCATCCCGCACGTTGTCCCGAGGACCTACCGAAATATCCGCGCCAATACATAAATGACACTTGCGCGCCGCCGTATCCGGCGCAACATTATTCTCAGGATTCTGTGAAACATATTAAATATACCGAAGTAGATCGGATAAATCCGGACTTTCAGAAATACCCGTGTAGATGCGAGGAGGGCTTACACAAGTACCCTCATAGATGTAGAGAGGAATATCATAGATGTTCGGATAATAACCTAATATACGATCAATGCGTGGACGATCAAAAGTACGCCATTGACCTTCAGAAGTATCCTCAGAGATACTCCGAGGATCCCTTACGTTACAAGATAAGCGATAAGAACGGTTACACTGATTTGCAAAAGTTTCCTCAGTGTTATTCCGAGGATCCGTTACGGCTAACTCAGTCTCCGCATACGCTTAAGTACAACAACCTGAGGTGTGCCGATCACACCTTGAAATATCCGATATCGAAGAACATTCTGCCGGCGCGAATATTGGGCACGGGCGGGATACCGATCATCGGGCAGACCGCGATAGGTCTTGTAGTCAATAGATTCGGCTCTGGACCATTAACCAATAATTTGTCGTATGCGGAGAATTCGTTGTGCCCAAGCGACAGTACAGAGGAGGATCTCTTGAATCGACGTTTTATTATGAGTTCATTGAGTGACAATGAGGATATTTAACGTCTATTATAGAACAGAAATACATTTCTCGAATACATTTGACTCGATTACGTAGTAATACGGAGGAAAAGTCGGGGCTATAATTAATATATTTACCACAGAACAAGAAATCGTGGACTCATAACGTTAGAAAGCTTTAATTAGATCATTATTCGTCCTCTCTTCTTAAAATCTCACATTAAGGGAATACTTTGTATATAAATGGTTGTATGATTATTCTCGATTCCTCTAATAGGGAATTGGAAAAAAGAAAAAATTATATATATACAAATATCAAGAAAAAGTTGAAATTAATTGTTGCGAAAAAGAGATCTATTTATTTTTTGAAAGTACCGTTTTGCATTATGCATAGACCTTTATTTTAAGGATAATATGTATATTATGGTTATGGTGGTATATGTATAAGTGAGTTAAGGTATTAGACACATACCGATTATGTTTAATCGATATGAATTTTTTAAAGTATATTCTTTTCTTAGATATTCTATTATTCAGTATTATTCAGTTTTATGTATTGAAAGAGGGATAAGAAATAAATGCGAGTTCTATCGAATTCTCTAGATATTTACTAAACTATCTTTGTTTTTTCAATGTGTTTTCGGTCAAAGATTGTTTAATATTTCCAATAAGTGGAAATTTCGCGCATTATATAATTTTCTTCGTTGTTATCATAAAAATAGATAAAATTTTATAACATGCGAAGGAATATTCTTAATATATATAATTTTTGTGAACGCCAAATTATCTCGTTCAGAAAGGAATTTTTTTAGGTATAAATATATATTTATACACATAAGTCTTTTAGCAATTAGTAAAACTTTAGCATAATTCAATAAATTGTATTTTTATTGTTTAAAATTACGTCCTGTCGAGGGCTCAGAGCATACTATTTGGTAAGTTCGTTTTATACATTTTGATCGCCATTGAGTGTATGTCTTAATATATACGAATGAACGGATTCTTCACACCAGCATTAATAAATCACACGACGTGTTTCTTTTACACTTTTACGAAACTAATTTTGAAACACTGTATCGTTTATAGGGTTTATGGTTTGTGACTAATTGATTGGTTTATAATTTGGCTTTAATTATGGGTAGGATAAGATTAGTTTGTAATTACAAGTCAACAGACATACGTGGAAATTGTATCGAGTTTTTTGTTTTTGTTTTATGGAAAGCTACGAGAGATTTAATATGATATATAATGTTTAAACTTTCACAATGTGTACGCTTATTTTAATTTACCAAGATCGGAAGGGGCTTTTGGTTTGATCTACACTTTTCTTTGTTTTATTATGCACAAGTGGAAATATTGTTTATATAAAGAGAGATTTTTTCGCAACTGTATGTTTCACGTAGTATATGTAGATTTATGTTAGAGTGTTGTACATAGGAATATATATATGTATATATATATATATATATATATATATATATATATATATATATATATATATATGTATTAATATATATTGAAAATCGGCGTGCATTATCGATTGGATAATTAAGATTATAGAAGCTTATGCTCGTACTATTGTCATTTTGTGCGTAAGAAACACAAGGCTCAACGCTGCACCTTCCTAGTAACGATATTGTAAAATACAGTTTGATTTTTTTTCTTTTTTTCCAGCACTAAAGACAGGTTTTCGTAATAATCTTGTCTTTCGCAATTTAATGCTAATAATTTATATTTTAATTTTGTATGTGCACTTTATCCATGCGATCACGCGGACGACCGAGACTCTTACACGTCATTGTCAATTTTGCTTTTAGGTAGTACTACAAACAGTATAAGCCAACTTGTTACCAACGAAGTACCATTAGCGTCTCTCAACATAGCACCAATTGATATCGACGAAATCGCTCCGTTGCCTCCTCGTCAGAGCGTCGTGGTTTCTTCTGCTCTGGATACATCTTCCATACCGGCGGTGACAACCCCATTATCTGCGTCTAGACTCAGACTGTTGCAGGACACTACTATGATAGAGTCTGCCTTAGACCTGGACTCGCTGGAAGACGCAAGCGTTGGTAGAGGTAGTCAGGCGGGACTTATAAAGATGGGGGTGTAGTCTAAAATCCGATTGTTCTTCATGAACTATAAAGATTAAGAATGATCGATTTGTCCGATGAACAAGTGCAGTCCCCAACGCGTTTCGCTGCAAATTGAAGCAGGAAACGTAACCCCGCGCGTTTTGCGTCTTCATTCGCGAGATTAATTCCGCGCGTACGATAATCTTATGCGGATGTAATCGTTAGTGAATTGTCATTTACAAGGTAGATTTTTGTTTGTAAGAGGACGGTAGAATGAAACTTCAAGATTTCCAAAGGAATTTGAATTTACAGTGCTTTACAGAATTACGGTGAATTGTTACGTAACTAAAACGGCCGAATTTATGCTATAATTGAAGTACAAATAATTGTAAACGTTCGCATCATTTTCAACAACTGGGCTATTTATTATATAATCACACCTATTTCACCCTCAGCTATAACACTTGCATATGCTAATTTGTGATGTATTTATTCATCGTTTCCTTTTTTCGAAAATCTTACGTTACTAAATGTAGGTTCTAATTAAATCGCAACATTTTAAAAAAAGATTTCGAAAAGTATTTTAATGGTACTCTTTGATTAATTAATTATTTATATTACAATATTTGCCGAAAATACTTAACAGGAAGATATATAATGATACAAAGAATTCGTATACTACATGCTTAATTTTACTATTCACCCAAATTTGAGCGTAATTTGCTGCCTAATGTTACATGTAGAAAAATTAAAATTTTAAATTTATAATAACATCTTCACACAGGATCGTTAGAGAAATGTATATATTTTGCACTATTTCACACACAACACAAACATACATATACATACTATATTAATGATTTTACTATATGTATACAAAGTCAATAACTAACACGTGTGTACAAATAAAGTTTTTAGCACTTGTTTGTGCTTGCACTGAATAAAAATCAAAGTACATTGCACTATAGAGAATGAAGTAAATGTTTGAATGATTTTGAAAGAGAGAGAAGTAATTAAAGAGAGGGTAGTTTTCAATATAATTAAACAAATATTTATTATAGGAAATATGTAGAAATTATAAGAATATTTCCATTGCATTTCCTGATATTCTTAGAAGTATTGTCTTTTTAACAGGATTTGCCATGTACAGTGTAAAAAGTTTTGTAAATAAACTTTTCATACACATTAGCATAGTTTTAAGGATAATTGCAGAATTTATTTGAGCAATGCAGCTAATAGCTTTTAAACGTTAGAATTACCACTGCCTGATCTATCAATAAATTTTGTATAAAAAATTGTGCATGTTATTATCTAATTTTTGACATTATTATGCAATTACACACTATTCATATGAGTAATATTGAAGAATATATTAATACCAGTACTTGTTATATATTAATAATATAAGAATTGCCATTCTGAAGACTAGAAGTGCTATTCTTTTGTATATAAGACATGTATATGATACTATATGTATATATGATATAGATGTTATAATAAAATCCATATAATATAATGCAAGTTAAAAATATTTTGTAATGTTTTATTGTATTAAAATAACAATTCGACGCAAAACATACACCATTTATTTTAGTAATAGTTAAATTCATAATTTATGTCGCATGTTCAAAAAATGATTTATCATATAATTTCATAGATATAAAAATATTTACATTTTATATAAGAAAATAGACACACTGCATTGGCAATATTATATTAAAAACAATATATGTATATTATTATTAATTATCGAAGTGTATTAAATATTATAATAATATTTTTACATCTCAAATTTTACAGATACAAATTAAAAATATTTTATCGTGAATCTACATCTTATATGTGCGTTTTTATAAAAAATACAATATATATTACATAAGCTCATGTATAATAATAGCTGCTGTCACAATGAAGAATGCAACACATAGACCAATATAAGGAACCAGTATTTGATGAAATTTGGTCTTATCAGTACCATGGTCCAATGATTTGTTATTGGCATCACTCTGGCAGTAGAATTCTGTAGGATCTGTATTATAAAAATTTAATCGTGACCAAGTAATGATATATATATATATATATATATATATATATATATATATATATATATACACACATATGTGTGTGTGTGTGTGTGTGTACATATATATATACATATATGTACACACATATATATACATATATGTATGTATGTATGAAGATTACTCTTATGTTATCTCCATGAACGTAATGTTACAGCTCCACTTACCAGCTTGCAACTCAACTTCCTTTTGCACCTGGTTCTCTTGCACTTCTAGATCCAGCAGTTCTTGTAACGACAATAAGGCTTCCTGCGGCCCTTCGCCAGGAAATAGATAATCTGACAACGTGATTTTATTTTCCGGTAACGCTATTAACACTCTTCTCGGTGGTTCGTGTAATGTGATGTTCTCTGAATAAAGAATTGCAAGTGAACAGAAAGATAATACTGAAATCTAGATTTAAGTTACATCGTATGTCGTGTCGGCTTTACCTTCGGGAGAACCACTCTCTTCCTCTATTAAACTGTCCCAGTGCATTTCCAATCTGCTTGCCAGAGATCTTACTATATCTTGCCTTACTGCCATATTGGCTTCCGCGATACTAGCTTTTTGATGTACAAATGTCCTACTGACTAATTGCCCAATTAGTCGTATCGATGCGCTGCATGATGTCACTCTTATGTTTGCATTAGCATCATCTTGCAACTAATAAGATAAAGTTAGCAAAATGCCTCTTTTAAAATTTATTTTTGTAATTGTCTCTATAGTGCCTGAGTGAACTCATTTATACTCACACATGGAATGTACAAGCTAACTTGAAAGAAGTTACTGCTATCATTCTTTTTACTTTTACATTCCTTATTGTCTCTTTTCTTTTTGCAAATTATTTCTAATGAGGTTTCCAGTGGCCTAACTTCTTCCTCAATAACGACGAGTGAAGAATCGATCAAATCTGCCACACTCGTCAAGATAGCCTATAAAAAAGTGTATCTTTAATTTATTCAGTTTTTGAGGTTAATAAGTTATTGTACTTGCATTTAAAAATAATATATCCACCTGTAATTGCCTCTTGAGAGTCTCAGGATTTTTATCTGCATCTGTAAAATACAATCTGTCAAAATCTACAAGAGCTTCTAGCTGATGCCACTTGGTTGCTTTCTCTTGAAATTTCCAGTCAGCTGGTTTTAATATGCCATCTTTGGTAACATCTATAGATTTGCAAGTATATCTGGAGATAAGGATTTAATTGCTAAATCAATTAAGATATAATGTAGAACTTCTTTAAATCTGATGAGATATATCCAAGCCTGCATACTTTTGTGTGACACTGTTGAAAGCTAATATAAGCTTTTCATCCTGATTATTTCCATAAAGATGCTTGTTATTGCATGAAAGGGCCTTGTGGATTGCACTAAGAACTGATTTAAGCTTCTGTATATTGCTGGTAATGTCTAAAGTATCCTCAGGTCCTGTAATAAAAACACCAAGTACCCACATTCCACCAGGCAACATTCTTGTAACCTGAAATGAAATATATTGCATGTAAATGAAATATAACACAATATAATCATATTCATCTCTATATAATATACTGAGTTATTTCTAAGAATGCAATTCCTTATTTTTTTAAATTGTTTAGATTCTTGTTTTTAACTAAATTATTGGAGCATTGTAATATTATATATCATAGAATATTAAATATTTCCTAGATATTGTAATTATATAAGTTGATTGTATAATTGAAAAAGAAGAATGTTAATAAACCATATAGTTTTGTTTAATCAATTTTTAATATTTTTGAGCTTTGTATTTTTTTCATATTGTAACTTTTGTCTGCAATAATTAAACAATTTATAAAAATAGGGAATTGAATTTAATCTTATTTTTAATTGTATTCTATCTATGGAAACTGTACACATACATGTTTAGCATGATCAGCCACCCAGCTCATGGGAATATCTTTAACATATTTAATATATGTCTCAGTTGCATCCTGTTCTGCAGTTGTCGCATAACTGATTAAAGTTTCTTCGACAATATTTTTATCAAGGGGAGGTGGTGTTTTTGCTAAGTGTACTATGTAATCTTTCTGTCCACTACTCTATAACATTAAATAGAGGCAAACAATACATCAGACAACATTATATGTCAATATAATTCTTTATACATTTGCAGTATTAAATTTATAACCTTTAATTCTATTTAAGATACAATGATAAAAGAATAAGACAATTTTTTAAAAGATACACATGTGTAATTAATACTCTAAAGTAATTTGATTGAATTTCAACAAATCGTAACACTTGTCACTCTCTCGTCACATATGTTATGAAAAATGAGTTGTAAAACTTAATTGATATGTAACAAATATAAAAGACAAACCTGTCCCAAGATCAATCCTATCACATATCCATCTGGTTTCGCTAAAGATGCTAAATACGTGCGAAGATGCTCTTCAGCGTAAATTGTTCGTCCCATTGCTCTTACGTGCTGTTTTCTTTGACAGAATAGCGATGATCGCGTGCGGTTAGTTGAATTCACAATTTAGTATGCTACGTGTGTTTGTAAGATTGTATGTATAACATTATCAGTATAAATAAAGATCATCTGGTTTATCGATTAATCATATTATAATTATAAATAAAAAGATTATATTATAAGAAAATAAAAAGTTTTTCAATACATACACACATCTATCGTTGAATAATATTTGAAATTAAAAAACCGTTTGATTCGTTGTTGTGTTGTACTACTTCAAAAAATAAAAGTCTATCTAATGCAGGATTCACACCGCGTCCGATGTCCGATATCCGATATCCAATAAAAGAACAGCTTTCCAATGGAGAGTTGAATTCTCTGTTAGAAAACTATTCTGTTATTGGATATCGGATGTCGTACGTCGGACATCGGACGCAGTGTGAATCCTGCATAATAGCCGTATTACACTAGCGACTGCGACTGCGATTATAGATTTGTCGCGTCGCATGCCCAACGTACTCCTACTCACCCCAACGCACTCTGGTTGGCTACGTCACCACGCGGACCAATCAGAGTGCATTGGAGCGAGTAGGAGCACGTTGGGGCATGCGACGCGACAAACTAATGTCTCTTGACCAGTCAGAAAGAAGATGCTAGCTATTACCGCTTTTTTCATTGGTCAAAAAACATAATCGCAGCCACGAATCGCTAGTATGATACGGCTATAACATATCATTGGCCGCATTCAGTGGAAAAAACAGTTCAGTGAGCACTTAGTGATTATTGTGTGATTGGAGTATTATTTTAGTTCTTACTAGATCTAGAAGTATGTACCAATCAAGAGTGATAATTACTTCTTGAGTGATAAGCGCTCCTTGAATTGCTTTCTCCTGAATGTAGCCATTGGATGCATCCAGTATTTTGTCTTACCAACATTATGGATGTTTCCGAAATGTCCAGGGTTGAGTCGAGTTAGTTCCACTATAGTATCCGTTACATATACTATAGTGGAACTAACTCAACTCGACCCAACTCTGGGTATTTCGGAAGCATCCTATATTTGCTTACCACTTTACTTTTTTGTCATCTTTCTTGTATAAATGGCAAGGATGCTATATTAAGGGAGCCCAATTTTGTATTTAGGCTTTTTGTAATAAATAAAATTTGTAATAAGATATAGACTCGTGTGTGTGGGGGTGGGAGACATCGTACTTCGAATATTTACTCAAATATTCGACTTTTTTTTTCAAAAAAATGTTTTATAGTCCTCTACGATGTTTCTCTTGATTTTAAATATCACAAATACTGCTAAATAAAGCTGATTCAATAAAGCTGATTCCTTTTATTTGTGATTAGGTATTTTCGTATTTTATCAAAATATATCAAATGTCTCTGCGTATTTCGTGGTTCTTCGCGAGAGGTCTTCACTATGATTCCCGCATACTCTTGAAAATTAACGGCGGGCTAGTTGTCCCGTGACTCTATCACAAAAAATAGGCAAAATTTTAAAAGTTGTAACTTTGACAAAATTGATACTACCAAAATCGTTCAAAAAGTGTTAAAGAATTTGAAGTGTTTACTTTTTGTACTATTAATGCAACGTTGTTGTCGTTTTTGGAGAAAATATATCGATTTAAATGAGAAATAGTGATTATTTAATTGTTATCCACAACTTTCAGGTGAGTTTTTATATTGGGAAAATTATTTTTATTAAAAATAAAATATATATTTTAAAGAGATATCTTTAGGCTTTTTATACATTTTTTAAATGAAAGTTATTAATTGTTTTATATTGTAAATATGTGATAAAAACTAAGAGTAAGGTAAATGTACTAATGCCCGGATATGTACCAATCTTCGGACATTGTTATTATTTTTATATTTGAATATGAATATTTCAACTTTCAACGTACAATACATACATACTGGTATATATACATTTAATATTTATATTTAGTGTACGTTGAAAAATGAAATATTTAGAGAAATATTCAAAATAATAAGTGTCCAGAATTAGGTACATGTCCGGGCATTGGGACATTTACCTTATTTGTATTTTACTGTTAAAGAACTTAGTGAAAAAATAATCATATTACAATCTTATACGCAAATTAAAGAATAAAATTCGCGCTTTCAAATGATCAATATTATTGTTGCGTGATGTTTAGTTTAAATGATATAACTCGACAAATTCTCTCTCTCTCTCTCCATAAAAATATTTTGATATTTTAGCATAAATATCGTTTTATATCAGTCTTAACACCACAAAAAATTAATTTATTTGAAAACGTGCGTACATGTTCGAAAGCTAGAGATTTCCCGCTACAAGATGCTTTTTGAATTATCTTGTTATTTTTATTTTTATGAAAGTTATGGCTTGTTGAATTTGTAGCATATTACTTAGCATGTGCCTTATATGTACAAATCTATCTGAAAGGCTATTTGCTGATTGTAAATCACTTCATAAAACTCCGTATGCAATGATAGAAAAATAATGTATATATATTGTTGAATAATAATATATTTATATATATATATAATTTTTTACAAGAAACACTTGTGTTTATTGGTCCATTAACCGCAAAAATATTTGAACTTTGCATTTCACCAAGTGTTAGATAAGATAAAGAAACATAAGTGGAATACAAAATTCGTTATAGATAACTTGGTTGAATATATTTTAAATGGTATCGATACAAGTAAAAAATATATAAAATGTTAGTATAAAATATAATTCTGTACAAATCTATTGGAATCTTTTATAGAAGTATTTTCAAGTACAATTACAATATATATGCTTGGAAACTGAAAAAATAAAAGTCGATTTTTTTGAAAAATATATATACGTTCATATGTACACATATATATGTATATATATGTGTATCATGTTGATGTATATATATATATATATATATATATATATATATGTATGTATATACACAAATCTCACACTACTCGTGTATATATATATATACACACACACACATATACATTTATACATACATACATACATATATATATATATATATATATATTTATATATATATATATATGTATATATATATATATATATATATATATATATATATATATATATATATATATATATATATATATATATATATATATATATATATATATATATATATATATATATATATATATATATATATATATATATATATATATATATATATATATATATATATATATATATATATATATATATATATATATATATATATATATATATATATATATATATATATATATATATATATATATATATATATATATATATATATATGTGTGTGTGTGTATATATATATATACACGAGTAGTGTGAGATTTGTGTATATACATACATATATATATATATATATATATATTTATATATATATATATATTTGTAAATATATAGATATCTTAAAATCCTCTCAATTCAAATATATTGTAAATATAATACTTACATGTATTGTTTAATGTTATTCCTACATATATTTATTTTGCATCTTTTGATACTAATTTCTTGATACTAAAGTAGGAAAATGATTATAAGTAATAATAATTAATATAATTAGAGCCCTTAATATATATAAAAAAATCGTAAAGACGATTTGGTCTAAATAATTATGAACAAAAATGAAATCAAATTTACAATATTAATTTTGCAATGCTTCACATATTATACAAATACTCCATATCTAAGAAAATTATATGTATGTATAGTATTGAACGGAACCTTTTCAAAATCACATATACAGCTTTGCTTCCATCTTGTGGAAATTACATATACTGCTCAAGATCACATATACAGCTTTTGTTCCATTATTGAAGGGCAATCGGTATCATAAAAGCCTTATTTTATATATTCCAGGATAGTATTAATAATTGCAAACATTGCTTCTGCCTTTGCATTATTTTCCGTTGTTCCTATACCAATTTGTGTAATAACTGGTGTGGACAGCATACGCAGGCATATTATTGTAACATCTGCTGTCTTGTTGCTATAGTTGACTTGGTTTAACGTAACCCCTAATGTCTTTTGAACTTCTTGGTACGTTTCTTCTATTGCAATAAGATCCTCTATCGCACTCAATTTATATTTGCTTACGATACACATTCTTTTTTTTAAATCATCTGGTATCTTATCAGAATACAATTTTTTGAATAAATTATGAGAATCCGTAAGACACACATTTGAAGATTTGTATTTTTTAGAGTTTTCCAATAAGGATAAGGCTTTTTTCGATACATCCGTAAGAGCCATAGTTTTGTTACTTTCGACAAAATCTGATATTTCTATATTAAATTCTCGTAAATCGTCCTCAATTGTTCGTTTGTGTTCTTCATCCTTATAAGTTACTAATGATAGGTTTGTATTATCATTCTTAGTTACAAAATATTGTTTATCGTCAGAATTAGATTCAATGTTGTTCGATTGTGCGTTTTCTGATGATTTTGTAATTGCTGACTCAACAATTGACTTGCTTATATCCAACTTCTTGAAGTTACTTTCTAATGTTTGCTTAGAGTCATTAACCGTTTTTATTGACTTTGGTTGGTAGATACTTATCTGGGTATTCTTAATTGTATTATTATTATTATTAAATACTGCTGAACCATTATCACTGTTTTGCATTGCTATATTGTTAGAAATAAGTTCATATGTCGGTAAAGCCTTTTCTGATATCTCTTCTATTTCTGGTTTCTCAATAGGTAATACCGGTTTGGTATTTTTAACATTCAATTTTATATCTTTTGTATCATTTATATTGACCTTTCTTTTGTAAAGTTCTATTTTTTTATAAGTATCTTCTGGCAATATATTTGAAACTACTAAGTGATGTAGTATATTCTTGGCAGCTTCTTGTTTCGCAGCCTTTTTACAGAATGCTATACCTGTCATTTCATGAGATCCAACACTGCTTTTTACCTTAAATGTTCTCATATGACTAGGACCACTTTGTTGAACAACTTCATATAAAGGCAAACTTATGCGATGTTGCATGCAAAGTTCCTGTGTATATACATAAAAAACAATATTACTTAAACTATTAATTACTTAGTAGATATATAAATATAATAAATTACATAACTTACTTGTAGCACTCCTACATAGTTACATTCAGGAAACGTTTGTGTATCTTTGTTTAATGGAGGTAACATATTTGTATTGTTTGGTTCATTTGTATTATGTGTCGGTTGACAAGTTTTAAAATCTTGTATTTTATTTCCAGTCTTGTGTTTCTTTGAGTATATTGTAATATTCAACAATGATAACATATTTACTGCAGCATTATATTTGGCTTCCTTTTTGTTAGGTCCTATGCCAATTGCACTTAAATTTTTACAAGTCACTTCACATTTAAATTCAGAAATATCCAATATATAAGAATAATTAGGAACACAACCCTCTTTGATTAAAATTTCTTGGAGAATATTAATTGGTGATTTATTCATTTTGTATCTGAAAATAGTACATTTAGTTAAAAAATGATGTGAAAAACAAGCAAAAATATATATTAATTTAGTTATACTGAAAAGGAATCATTTTTCAAAGAAAAAGAATCATTTTTCAAATATACTTTAAAAAAAAAATTAATAGATATTGATAAATATCTTCTCATAGTTAAAAATTTTATTCAAAAGTATAGCAATAATTATATATATATACTTGAAGAAAGATAACACTTGTTAGAAAATTTATAATAAGTGATACTATATATATAATGATACTATATTATAAATTTTTAAAGAAAACAGATTTCTCCTCCCTTACTTTTAAATATCTAAGGAACTATCCAATAACTATAAAGATGACTGACATTGACAATAATGTATCTTGCTTTGTATAAGCATACTAATCTAATATATAATCTCTCAATTATTAGAATATTTTCCTTTTCATGTATAAAAGAAGTTTGTATAATCATAAAAAAGAGATACTGTGTTGTCAAAACAGAAACATGTTGAAATTTCTCACAAAGTATAGAGAGATTGTTTATTTTGATTTATATTTCAAATATAACGGATATATATATATATATATATATATA